CTTGTGTTGCCAGGGACTAAACACTAAAACTATGTAAGTAAGTAAAAGTGGAACCAAGTTAAAAGGACACAGCAGCCAACTTGGCAGAGTTCCCAGTAGCCGAAACCAGAACAGTCTGAGCAAGAAAATGAAGTGAAAATAGTTTATGATAAGCCAAAGAATAAAATAAATATCCATGAATTCTTACTGATACAAATAAGCAAATAAATAAATGAGGGAGAAGAGCAGATCTTCCTTACAGCAGACATCCAGATAAAAAATGTATAAGGAATGGAGAAAGTAGAAAATTACGTTATAATACCACAGTAATAATTGCCATAGGCAAGATTAATGGGTGAATGCTACAATTAATGAGTGAAACTTTTAAGAAGAAAAGGGATATTTGTATAGCCTCAAAGTCTCTCTCCCAGGAAATGTATTGATTTCTGTGATGCTTTTAATAAATGTCCACAAATTCTTAGATACGCTTCCTTCAAGCAAGTGGCTGAATTCCCTTATCTTTGATCAGGGCTAGACATAGTGCCTCATAACTAACAGAGTATGCTACTTAATAGTAAAGAAGCCTGGCTGGTGCCTTCTTCACCAAGTGATCAGGGTTTACATCACCAGTAAGGAATCATATTGTGACCCCATGGACTATAGCCCGCCAGACTCCTCCATCCATGGAATTTTCCAGGCAAAGAATGCTAGAGTGGGTTGCTATTTCCTGCTCCAGGGGATCTTCCTAACACAGGGATCAAACCTGCGTCTCTTGCATCTCCTGCGTTGGCGGGCGGATTTTTTAGTACTGCACCTCTTGGGAAACCCAAGATCTTATCTATTGCCTAGATATTATGTAATGAGAAGGGTACGTCATCTCTCTGGCATTCTTTCCCAAAATTTATAACCTCAGTCTGATCATGAGAAAATATCAGAAAATCCCAAACTGAGGAACATTCTACAAAATATCTGACTAGTAGTCTTGAGAGTCCCTTGGACTGCAAGGACATCCAACCAGTCCATCCTAAAGGAGATCAGCCCTGGGTGTTCATTAGAAGGGCTGATGTTGAAGCTGAAACTCCAATACTTTGGCCACCTGATGCAGAGAGCTGACTCATTTGAAAAGACCCTGATGCTGGGAAAGATTGAGGGCAGGAGGAGAAGGGGACGACAGAGGGTGAGATGGTTGGGTGGCATCACCGGCTCAATGGACATGGGTTTGGGTGGACTCCGGGACTTGGTGATGGACAGAGAGGCCTGGCGTGCTGCGTGGACTCCGGGAGTTGGTGATGGGCTGGGAGGCCTGGCGTGCTGCGTGGACTCTGGGAGTTGGTGATGGGCAGGGAGGCCTGGCGTGCTGCGTGGACTCTGGGAGTTGGTGATGGGCAGGGAGGCCTGGCGTGCTGCGTGGACTCCGGGAGTCGGTGATGGGCAGGGAGGCCTGGCGTGCTGCGTGGACTGCGGGAGTGGGTGATGGGCAGGAAGCCCCCACGTGCTGCGGTTCATGGGGTCACAAAGAGTCGGACACGACCGAGCGACTGAACTGAGCTGAGCAGTCTTCACATGTGTCAGGAGAGCTTTGAGAAGCTGTCACAGGTCAGAAGAGGCTAAGCAGACGTGACAGCTAAGCACAGTGCAGTTTCCTGCACTGGATCCTGGAGCGGATAAAGACAGTGGAAAAACTGATGAAGTCTGAATCAAGTTTAGCTGATTGTGTTGTATCATTGTTAACCTCTCAGTTGATAACTGTTCTGTGATATACAAAACATGAACATTAGAAGAAGCAGGGTGATGGGAATCCTGGAACTGTTGATATAATCTTTACAACTTTTCTGTAGATCTAAAATTATTTCAGAATTAAAAGTTAAAACCCAGCTTACTGGTATCTTCTCAATCTAAGGATATTTGTTATTTTGTAGTGTCTCTAGAGCAAATTAGTTCAGAGAAATCCCTCTCCCCTTTGCAGTTTCTCTAGAAAAGATGAGCTCTTGATAACAAAACAGCTCTCACAGAGCAGGGATAGTAAATTTTAAAGGCTTGCGCTCCACCCAAAACTCATCTGCCTGCTCTGTGTAGGTTGGTTCAGCCAATACCGATGGTTCGCCTTTTATGACTTGGTACCATGGCCAGCATTTAGGTTACAAAAAGTATTCTGTTAAAAAATAGAGGTGTAATTTACATGCAATACAATGCATAAATTTTGCTAAACAATTTGATGAGTTTTGAAAAAATATATTCATCTGTATAACAACTACCCTAATGATGCTCTAGAACATTTCCAACACACTTAAAGTTTCCTGCATGCTACTATCATGCTGTCAATCCCCTTACGACTTGGATCTGTACTCCAGGCAACCATTATTCTTATTTATATCGGTTTAGATTACTTTTGTCTGTTCTTGAAATTTGTATAAAGGAGTCACATAGTATATATTCCTTTGTGTCAGGCTCTTTTTGCTCAGCATAATGTTTTTTAGATTAAACTATGTTGCATCTTTAAAAAAAGAAAAAATACAGAGAAGAACAGTTGTGGTTCTGTCTTCTTCTGTCTTGGGCCCTTTGTTCCATTGACCTGCTAATCTGAAATCTTCAGAGGTACTAGATCTGGTTTCATCTGACTATCTCTTAATACCCAATTATTGGTAGATTTAAGTGGTATCAAAAGTGTGGTACTCAATAAGATGGACAAGAAGAAAGAAAAAAATTTATTTTCTTCAGTATAAAATACATTGTATTTCCTCCCCCCCCAAAAAAAACCCAATAAATCTCATTAATCCAATGTAATTATGAGTACAGATGTGAAATCTTGATTTATAAATATTTTATTCTTATTACTTGCAACCTCTGATTAACTCAAAACAGGATAGCAGAGCTGATTATAAAAGGCCTAACCAGATCCTGTTTTAGTAAATAATAATGTGTGATTGGCTGAGGATGATTATTGTCATAGTAACAAATTAGAATTTAGATAGTAAAATTAAACTCTTTCCCTGTATGCCAATCATTCTTCTGATCTGACCATTAGTGAAAACTGTCTTTGTGCACATATGGGATGTATGGTGTTTATCAGTTAGATATATTTTACTACTTGACCAAATGAGTGCAGTGTGTTTATTTGGGGATTATTTTTGGTGTGGTGAATGAAAAACAATGTACTGTTTTTGAACATGGAAATACATTTAGGTTGGCATAGTGGCAAGTGCCTGCATTTTCTGGAAAGCCCTGTTTCCCAGAGTGTTAATGTGGCCAGATACAAACAGATACTTAATAATACAGCCCAACTACTATAGTCAGATTGAGCAACACATAACTTATAGCAAATCTGATACCAGGAACATAAGAATGATAAGCTACTTGGTAAAGATGTACTGTGACGAGCAGTGAGTAAAAGTGCAGACCGCACACTGGTAACAAGCCATCCTTGTGAAGGTGTACATGATACAGTTGTCCTGACAAGTGCTCTCGAAGTATATCTTTTCATGTTATCTTGGTTTCTTTAGTGAGTTTGCTTAGTTTTTTTTTTTTTTTAAGTTTACAAGTAATGTTTCATTTCCTGACTTTATATTCAGTTAAGAATTTTACTGGTGGGCTACCGTGTGTCGGACACTTCCGTTTATTATTGCCCCAGTGTCCCGGTGCCTTAGAAATGCCATTGCCCATTTAAGAAGTTAGAAAATGAAGAATCTGAAAGGTTTAGCAATCTACCTGTTAGACCCTACTTTTGGTGTAATGTAAGTGGTTCCTGTACCTGAGTAAGTTGCCTAGGTTGGATATAGATCATGTATCAAAAATAAAAGAAGGTAGATCCCTCGGAAGGGAGGGAGGGGAGTTGAGATTAGAATAATGAATATTTGAAAATAAATGATCAAGTTCACTTTGTAGAACATCATTTTCTTGGGCAGGTCTGGTTCCAGCACACTGAGATTTGTTGGTCCTGTCAGATTTGTTGAAAACACTAGTCCAATCAGCTGTAATGCTCAGGGAGAGAAAAGGACTACAATTTGAAAGTTTTTATGAAGGCATGTGCTGCGAAATCTGTGAATTGACAGCGTCTTTTAAAAATTTGCTTCCCTTCATATTCCTAGGTGATAGCGAATACGTGGGTAGAAAAAGGACAGCATTTCAAATAATGCTAATGAAGTTAACTGATTGCAATCTTCCATATTGTGAGGAAAAGTTGTTAGCTGGAAAAGATGAGGACAGAATTAAAATATTATTATGACTGGCATTTGATTTGAAAACTGCAAAGATAAGCTTAGATTCCTATTTATGAAAACCATACTCACAGCCCGATGAAATATCTTTTAAAAGCTTCTACAGTTGCCATGGATACTTGTTAGCTTTGGTAGAGTAAGTTGTAATCCATATTCAGTCATCTGAGGTGAAGTAGCCAAATACACCCACCAGCTAACATCAAAAGCATCTCCGTCTCTAAATTCATACCGTTTTGGAGATGAAAAGGGTAAATAAACAGCCTAAAGATGAGCTTTTTGGTTAATTATCACTGCTTGAAAAGCAAAATATTTAGGATGCACATTGCCTGAATCAGACCCTAATGTCTACTCTCTGGGGGTAACTTCTTATCGTAACCGGTGGCAGGGGTTTCTTGGGTCCTGACGTGGGAGCTTAGATGCCAGGACCTTCCTGAAGGTTTTGAAACCTTTGTGGATACTCAGTTTCTGAAAGCTAGAGGGACACAGACAGTATGGAAGGCACCGGTCCCCATGGCTAACATGTTTGCACCTGGCCCAGGAGTGGCTGGTTTTTGCATAGCTTCCTTTAACTGCTATATATCGACGGCCGTTTTCACTACTGTTTATAAGATGTCAGATTAATCACCTAGTGTACAGGGGAGTGAGTACCGCATCCTTGGGCTTGAGTAGATGCTTCATATGACACAGAACTCTGTGGGACGAGCCGCTGAGGTGTTTTTGGCATCTGCTCATGCGTCTGTCACGTAACGGAGGCAAGAAGCCTGTCAAGTGACTTAAAATATTTTCCTCAATTCTCTTTTAAAACAGGTGACAAAAGAGCTAAAACAGTATGACAACAAAATTATAGAATGCAAATTCGAGAACAACAGCTGGGTCTTTATGAGACAGAGAACAGATAAAAGTTTTCCTAATGCCTACAACACTGCCTTGGGTGAGTATGACAGCCTCCCAGTGGATGGTACATGAAACCCCCCAAAAGAGGCAAGGTGTTAGAACTAACCTCTTTCACAGTCAGCTCAGAGGGGAGAAGGTCATCCAGACCCACGAGGGCTTGTGGCAGGTCTGTGCCCTGTGATTCTACCCCTCCTTCAACCTGTGGGCTCCTGCCAGGCGCCCGGGAGAGCAGTTTAAAGGGCAGGAAGGTGAGCTGTGGACAAGATGAATTTGTTGAGCAACCACCACAACAAAACCCACGGTAATTGCAGATCTGTTCAAAACACTAAACACCATCGTTTGCCAGATGGTAAAAGACAGAATTAGCAGGGGAAAATGTAATTTCCAGCTCCTAAAATAGCTTTACAGACAATGGAGAACAAAGTCAATGAAAAGCTTAAAAAAAAATGTGAAATGTGGTATGCTGTCTTCAGGATGTGCTCTGGGCACAGTGTGATTGCTTTGGGAATTCAGGGTAGTAAGCTTGTTTCATGAGGAGCAGCATGCATTAATTATTTTTATAAGGTAAACTACTTCTTCAGGCAACTCTGAATTGAGCTTCCAGTGGAATTGGGAGGGAAAAAAAGCAAAACGAGATGAAAGGTTAATGGGATCTTGAACTTTAGAGTGCTCAGTCAGTCAAGGTGCTGATGGTGGTTTGATAAGCTTAAGAGATAATAAAGAAATTGCCAGTTTGAGTTTTGCAGCTTGAAAGTTACTTTTGTATATTCAAAAGATTCTTGTTCGAACTATGTGTGTTCAGACAGGATGAGTTAATTTCAAAAAAGAGGAGTAATTAAGCCCTTGTCTTTTTTCCTAAAACCAAGTAGGTAAATACAGTTTTGATCACATTAGAAAAGGTGCTTTATTTAATAGTCATTTTGTTATAATACCTCACTTCAAACAAGTTACTAAAATAAAGGAAAACATGCTCTCCCAGCTACAGCGAAGCCTCGTGTGCTGTGTTTCACACGTGACCATGTGCACTGCTCTCTGAGAGAGAAAGGTTGAAGGACACAGGGTGTGTTTTCTTTAGAAACCGTGTGATCATGGACTGTAGTGTGATGCACTGCGCGAGATCCATGTGCAATGCAAACTGTTTGGAAGGATCGAAAACTGTGGTGAAGACAGGCTTAAACCCCAAAACTTAAACATTTTGTTCTAGAATTAATAGTAAAGAGTAACCACCAGAGGGACTTCCCTGGGGGTCCAGTGCTTCCAACACAGGGGGCATGGGATAGATCCCTGGTCTGGGAACTAAGATCCCACAAGCCACATGGCTCTGCTGAAAAAGGAAAAGTATAGCTACCAGCAATGCCTCGTTTCAGGGTGGGGGAGAGAGAAGCACAGTTTAATTCGCAGCAAGTCGCCCATGTCGGCAAGACAGAACGTTCTAGCCTGTTGGGATGGAAATCTCTCCCATCCTCATCTCCCTGGGGCGAGTCAGCTGCCTTCATGAGCCCTCACACGAGACACGTGTCTCCCTTTTTCCACAGCTGTGTGCAACAGTATCTCCAACCCTGTCACCAAGGAGATGCTCTTCGAGTTCATTGACAGATGTGCAGCACCTTCTCAAGGACAGAAGCGAAAGCATCACCCGGACCCAGACACAGAGCTCATGCCTCCACCACCTCCCAAAAGACCTTTGACCTAAAGACCTGCCTCTGACTTCAGGATTGAGAGGAAAGATGAGTGAGAAAAAATGCTGTTGTCCCATTTTTTGCAACCAGAGAAATTTAAAAAAGAAAAAAAGAGTGTGGCTTGATGTTGATACACATTTGACTTTTTTTTTTTTTAAAGAGAAGTATTGTAGCCAGTCTGTAAATATTTGATGTTTTTGTTTCCTCATTGCTACAGTACATCGGACTTAAACGTTTTATTTATACCTGGTAAACTCAGCCTTACCTTGTGGAATCTGAAGACTGAAATATCTAAAGGTTTAAACGAGATCAAAATCAATGAAAAAGAGGCCTTGTTTATATATGGATAACTTTTGCTTTAATTTATAAAGTTAGCAATCTGGAACTGTGAGTGCATAGAACATTGTCTTTTTTAGAAGTTGTATTTCAACTATGATAGGTTTTCCTTTTAAAACATTTAGGCAGTGGCATTAAACATTCTTGCTATTATTTATCATGGATTTCATACATCTCTGAAATTCTTGTATTCAAAACCAAATGACAAGGTTGTTAAATATTGTACTGTATTAAACAGCTTGGTCTGGCTTATATCATTTTAATAAATTGTTTTGCAACTGTAAAAGTAAAAAAGTAAAGCTCCATTTTGTGAATGTCATCCTTTCTGAAGGATATATCGAGTCTTTTCATCTGTCTCTGTTGTTTGAACTGCAGTATCAGACAGGTAGCCAGTCTGTCCACTCTGGCCGTGGTCTTGAGTCACTTCATAGAACATAGAGATACACACCCAGTCCTGTGTGTGCTGTTCTTCTGGGAGACTTTTTTCAACGCCAGGGCTACTTCTCCCTCACCTCAGTGGCATCAGCGCACTGTAAATTACGTTAAAACACGCAGCTCACTGTGATGATGGGAGTGGTATCAAATACATACACAATGTTGTGTTAGTTCTTTTACACAAGGCCGCACAGGAAACCGGCTGACTCCTCTGATCAGAAGGTAACGTCAGTGGAAGAGAAGGCTGTCACTGGAAAGCGCTCTCCCACTGCCGGATAAATGCAGAGGCAGAGACTAGACATCTGCAGGAACTAAACGTGAAGGAAGCCAAGACATTCATTTTCAAAGCCAGAATTTTCTCTCATCTTCTATTCTGGGAATGCTATTTCAGTTGTACATCTGAATTTTAACACATTTACTGATAGATAATGGATTTAAAGAGTGGCTAATTTGTCACATGCCATTGTTGAGAAACTGTGTTCTGATTGGTTTGTCAAGGAACTCTTGAGAATTAGCTTACTAGAGGCCAGTGTATTTATTTTTAGGATACAGGTTTTAAGTATGTGTATTTAAAACAAATGTTCATGATCTGAATTTTATATATGTAAATGCATATATATATGTGAGTATAGGCAGCAGTGTATATTCTTCTACTAAGATAGTGAGACACGAAAGTCCAAACGAGTCACCTCGTAGATTGAATATCTGATAGGATTCCTATATGAAACAGCACAGATTAACCAAAAGTGTATTTCTACTCATTCGAGTTTTAATGTTCTTAAACAAAGTTTTCTCCTGCGGTGGTTTTCTGTATGAAATGCTAGAGTCATGCTTGGCCTTCTCGCTTTATTGTTCCCAAGTTATGTAATGTGAATTTATTCAAAATGTCATTTTAGTGTTTCTTTCCTAGAGTACTTTTGTGTATTCGAGTGCTACAGGGATAAAAACATCTGATTGCTACTGCAACTATTGAAAGGTAGAAATTGGTCAAGGTTTCATGGTGTCTTGCACAAAATGGATCTGAAAAGCCTGTGCGACTCCGGATGGTCTGACAGCTGCTTCAGGATTAGTGGCTCTTTTCACAAGGTGTGACACTTTCTTCCAAGCCCATGTAAAGGCAGAAATCTTTTGTGATGAGAGAGCAAGCCTTTGTCAGCGATCTTTAATGGAGTTAAAATGTTTATGGTAATTGTAACCTTTTAAATGAGCTACGTGGAAAGAGCATCTCATCTTCAGTATACCCAGATATTTTCTCTTTGCCTTTGTGCATTTTCCAGGACTTTATTTTCTTAATTTATCTTTCCCTTTCAGTTGAAGTGATGTATAGTAAGTAGATCCCATTTAGCCCCTGAACACATTACCATCCATAGTGTCATAAAAAATCATCCAGAAAATCATTGGGGTGGAAGTCTGGAGGCACGATTTGGGACGTCATGAAGGAAATACTCTGCCCACTTCCTAATAACTGCTTTCTGACACTGACGTTTTGTAGACAAGAATAAGAAAACTTTACTTTCCTTTGTTATCACATATAAAAGATTTTGCTTTGTGTTTGGAAAAGATGTGGAAGACTCGACTGCCTGGCTGGTTACATTTGCTTTCCGTGAAATGCTCAGAAAATGTCAGGACATTCCTTCTCTAATTGTGTGTCAGTGCATATTGTAATAAAACTACTGATTTAAAATAACAGAAAGTGTATCTACTTTGTTTTACTGGTGATGCTTTTGTGTCCCTTTTATCGCTTTTATCAGATCCTGTCAACCATGCCCCTCAACATCCACTTAGTTTTGTTGCATTCTTGAGATTAGCATAAAAACTTGGAAAATCCTCTATTTTTCTTCCTGAGAAACCAAGAAACTTGAAAAGTATGAATCAGATGCTTCCAGGTAGGAAAAACTAATGTGTTAGAGAGAACCTTGGGCTCGACCCAGAGACCAAGTCTAGGCTCTGCCTCCCGTTGGACTTCTGTCCACTCTAGGACTCGTTTCTTCCCATCCCCATCTATAAAGTGCCAAGAGTGGGCCAGGTGATCAAAAAGAACTTTTTCAGGTCTGATGTGATTCTTGTGCAAAAGCCAGTGTTTTGTGAATATCCTGTATTCACGATAATAGCCATATCACCCTTGTGGAATATTCACCAAACCCCAAACACAACCACTTTGTTCAGGGAGATACCGTCTCAGCTTCATTTTGCGGTTGAGAAAGCTTTGACCCGAGCTCACGTAGCTAGTGAGTTGTAAGCCAAGAAGCAAACATAGGTCTTTGGCCTCCTTCCCCGAGTTTGTTGTTCAGTCGTTCAGTGGTGCCCAGCTCTGCGACCCCGTGGACGGCAGCGTACCCGGCTCCGCTGTCCTGGACTGATTGTGTAGTAAGTCCTCGCTGAAAGGCTCTGGCACCGCTCTTGTGGGGAGGGCTGCTTTCGGGCCAGGGCCCCAGACTGGTTAAGTTGTTTCCCCGATGCAAACAGGTCATAGGTTACGAGGAACTCTCTCCAAAGTAAGATGAAGTTGGGAGCAGGAAAGTAAGTCCATTTTTAGGAGCTCACTAAGTCACATTTAAGTTAAATAGTGTTTAAATGTGAGTGACACAGAGGCCATGAAAAGGAGTTTAATAATCCTCATTAAGATGCTTAACCTCAAAGATGCAACTAACAGGAAATAAGTGATTAAGTCACACACCGGGCCCGTGTTTTCTGACTGTCACGTACCCTGCCGTCAGCTCTGACCCTCTGGCAGGTCAGTACCAGCCGTGGTCAGCCCAGATTGCCAGTCCTCTCCCCAGACTCGGCTGTCAGGTGACCGCTGGGCCTCCCAGGCTTCTAAGACAATTTCACATTTCAAAAAAGTCACTGCACAGATCTCGCGTTGCCAGTTGTTTTGCCATAAAAGGATGTTTACAAAAAAAAACTGTTGCTGTTGTTTCATAAAGTAAAAGGAATCTTAATTCCCAAAAGGAAGTGGGACATAATTTCAAAGAAAAGACATGTAATTACATAGAACAGTTTGTTTTACATCTCACCACACTGTCCATTGCCTCTACCTTTAACCGCCAACTGGTGAAAACTCTTTCATAGACCAGTGTTGGGAACTATTGCATCAGTGAAATTCCAGGCAGGGGCTTGTAACTGCCGGGGAAGAAGCTGTCCCAGTTCCATAGCTGAAGGTCATTTTCATAGTAACTACCATCCACTTACATCACCATGATTGATTACATTGTGCTCTTGTGATCTAAGCTGCATAGGTGAACAAGGAAATTGTCTGAATGTTCAAAAATACTCAAATAGAACGACACCCTTACCTCTTGGAGGGACAAAAATAAGCATAGCTGAATATAACAGAGAAAGACTTGGCTTTGACAGCACATCACACCAATAAGAGTCACCGATTTTCACAGCTCTGAAGCTGGCACATGGTCTATTCTCCCTTTAGATCGCTGCCCCCGGAGCGATCTTTTGATTTCTTCCTCCCGAGGCAGAGCTCCTGGCGTCACAGGCCCTCTGGCCTGGCCTCCGCCTGTGTGTCCGGGTTGGGGCCTCACCGTGGCGTGGCTCCTGGCCGACTCGGGGTCCACCTCTCTGCAGCCAGGACCCCCGCTCATGCTGCCTTCTGTCAGAGCGCCCCGGGCTCCCTTACTTCGGGGATCAGGGAGGCCTTCCCACCGCGGGTGGTCTCTTGGCGGTCACCCTGTGCTGTGACGGCCTCCCCTGGGCTTCACGCGTGGGGGACTGGGTCATACATGACCCAGGGCTTGGTGGCAGCACGCACGGGCAGTGCGTAATCAGGGGCCCGAGGTTCGCATGCCTTCGGTCCGTGCTGCTGAGACCCAGCACGCGTTTGGCACAGCGCAGGGGGACTGTGCTCAGCATTTGGTGATAACCCGTAAGGGAAAAGAATTTGTGGAAGGATGCATGTTTGTAGACAGTGTTGCGTCAGTTTCCAGCCTATAGCACAGTGATTCAGTTGAAACTAACACAGCATTGAAAATCAACTTACAATCCAGTTAATAAAAAAAACAAAAACGAGTTGTGTTTCCTCTCCCCTCCCTCAGTTTGGCTGTGCAGGAAGAAAAACATTGTCCTCTAGCCTTCTCACCATCACAGGAGCATTGATCACACCTCTTGCTGCTTCAGAATTTCTCCACAGTCCATCTCTGATGCATCTTGTATTTAATCCTGATTAGAAGTGTCTTGTCTGTTCTTGCCTTTTACACTGAAAAGGAATACTTCTGAGGGAAACTCCCCAGCA